CCTACTTGAAGAGGATTTGTGAGGGAATTTGGAGGAAATAGACTACAGAGGTGATTGTTAATGTGATAGTTTTGATGGACCCGCCGTTCTATTAAATATGATTGGTAGATTGATGGACTATCAGAGGTAATTATTAACATGATAGTTTTATGGACCTGCCATCCTATTGAAGAGGATTGGCAGAAGAATTTGGAGGGAATGAACTATCAGAGGTAATCATTAACGTGATAGTTTTGTGGACCCACCATCATACTTGAAGAGGATTTGTGGGGGAATTTGGAGGAAATGGACTATCAGAGGTGATTATTAACGTGATAGTTTTGATGGACCCGCCATCCTATTAAAGAGGATTGGCAAATTGATGGACTATCAAAGGTAATTGTTAACGTGATAGTTTTGTGGACCTACCATCCTATTGAAGAGAATTGGCAGAAGAATTTGGAGGGAATGGACTATCAGAGGTAATCATTAACGTGATAGTTTTATGGATCCGCCATCTTATTAAAGATGATTGGCAGATTGATGGACTATCAGAGAGAAATGTTAAAGTGATAGTTTTGTGGACCCGCCATCCTATTAAAGAGGATTGACAGATTGATGGACTATCAGAGGAAAATATTAACATGATAGTTTTAGCGGATTTCGTGGTTGACAGAGGTATTCTATTAAACATGACAACTCAGAAAATTTATTACTCATAATCGAATGAATTACAAATAAACCAACCCCCAGTCTTGAATAAGTGCAGGGAGAAAAAGGGTAGACATGACACATCGCCTAGTGGGCCATTATCTGACGAGTTTGACTATCATAGGTAACTGTTAACGTGATAGTTGTGGGACATGCCATCCTACTAAAGAGGATTGGCTTCAGTGGCCGTAGTATCTTTCCCTTCTGACTGATAAGATTGGGTTTGGTCCGATTGCTCAGGTTGATCCTGCTTACTTCGTTCTTCAGCTTTGATCCTGGTAATAATCTTTTGAGCATGTTCACCTTGAGATATTAGTTGTCTCCAGGAACGACATTCTTCAACTCTTATTTGTGCTAGAAGGTCGGTCTGCAAGTTGTGTCGACAGGTCTCCACTAAGATAGAATGTGTCATACCTGTTGGACATCGCAGAGTTATGTTTCAAAACCTTTTGACGAAGGCTTTGACGGACTCCCTTTTTTCTGCTTAGTGGTGAGAAGGGTATGGATGGAGACTTCTATATCCTCTTCAAAGAATCTTAACAGGAAGAGTCTCTCTAGATCCGCCCACTTTTGGATACATCCCACAGGCAGTTTCATGAACCATTCAAAAGCAACCCCCTTGAGGGTGCTAATGAACAATCGAGCCAGTATGACATCGTTTGATATCATATTCTCAGTCTATGACTTGAAATGATAAATATGTTGGTTTAGTGATTCTATACCGTCGAAAGTTTGTAGCGTCGGGACTTTGAACTTTGGAGGATAAGGGGTAGCATCCCATTTGACATGATAGGGCCTGACAACTCCCTCGTCTTGGAGCTTACTTCTGTTAGCAATGGCATTGAGACGGACTTCTAATTCTTCTATTTTGGCCGATTGAGGATTCTGCTCATTCTTGGTCTCTCTTCCTTCATCAGAGGAAGATTCCAGGTTGTGGACTTCTTGATCAGAAGCAGCGTCATCAACCACTTTTCCCTTCCATTTGCTTGCGTGAAGTCGGGATGAAGACGATTTTTCTCTCCGGGAAGATTTTTACCTAGGTGGCGAATATGTTTTTCTGAGATTTATCATTGTCTGCGATGATTTGAGTCAACAGGGCCAGGAATTCATTAAGGGTCTTCTGCTATGATTTGAGCATGGCGTCTTGCTCAGCAACCCTCTTTGAAAGATCTTCAGAATGTTCTGCTATGTGGGCGAAGCTCTCATGCCCAATGAAAGAGCTTGATAATTAGGACTCCGCAATGGCTAAGTGTTCATCATCGGAATTAGTTCCTCTGGCTAACCTCTGATAGTTGACAAGAGGAATGGCTCCCGTCCGAGTCCGAGTGTATCGGTAGACTTCTTCAAACTCGTTAGCGATTTCTCTGACGGTCGATGAACGACTTGTCTCAGAGTCATTAGGGCTAGGACCAGAGACTTTCCCTCTGCCGATCACATTGATAGTGACTCTAAGATACTCGGTCTCTGGAAACTTATTCTTATGCAAACGTTGTCGTTGGTTGGGCAAGGTAACGTGCGTTAATTGGTCAAACACCAACGGTTTGGACGCATATGAGCAGTAGTGACATCCCGAGAGGATCGTAGGAATCAATCGTTTACATTGGAATGAACGAATGACTTATTACATCGATCTTTATCTTGATATGAACACTCTAAAATCTATTGCAAAGACTCGAGAAGAATTACTCACTGACGTGAGGTTTGAATTGGAACCCCCAGTCTATGATTGGACGGGACTGGCTCCTGGTGATCATGGATATGGTTGAGATGCCTTGAATCCAAAGACTTCTTATATCCGCCCCTCGATCTAATCGCGCTACGCAGAGTATTCGGGGGTCTCGCATTTTGCTGGTGAAACACAATCCGGAGATCTGTATTTTGCTAGTGGAACACAGTCTTGAAATCTTCTTTTTGGTTCTGAAACACATGCCTAAGAGTTACGTTCAGTTAATGGAACACACTCCTGAAGGCTGCGTTTTGACTGTACAATGCATCACTGAGGGCTGCATTCAGTTTTATTCACACAGAGCCTATGTTTGGGCTCATAGACGTGAGGCTTGCATTCTGAAGCAGAAACACAGAGCACATGGTCGCGTTTAGGCTCACAAACACGAAGCTCATGTTGACTTGAGGATCGACATTCACGGAGATGTGCTCGTCGTAGGGATCTCCTCCTTATTCGAGTGGCGTTCTTCTTAGCCTGCTTCAAGGCCTTTGTAGCGACGTCACCATCTGTATTGATCAAGTTTGTTGTCTCAATAGGCCTCTTGCAACCTAATACCCGTCGTCTTGGCGCGAGTTTGGCTGAAGCTGAGCCCACTCCATCAGAGGAGAGGCTATCCGAGGAATCTAACCCAAAGGAGAGATCTTACTTGGGTGATTCGGCTGCAATTGGAGCAGTCAGAGCTTTTGTCTCTTTGGAGACTTTATGGATCTTGCGTATAGCCTTGGGGCTAAAGGATCTAAAGGAAAGAACTTCCTCATACTTGGTTTGATCAAACTCAATAATAAGAGTTTCGACAGCTGTTCCAACAAGATTGACGTCAGATTGCGCCACCACTTCTTCGTCAGTGAAGCTAGTCCCCAGCAGAGTAGCCATCTTTTGTTTGTGAAAAATTTGTACTAAATAAAATAAAAATTTTGATTTGTATTCTCTTGATCTTAATTATAATTTAAATTCCGATTACAAAAGAGAGGAGAATTAATATGAATTCTCCTCTTTGTTTAATTCTGGGTTCTTCACGGTAGCGATGAGATGCCTCCCTCAAATGCTCACGTCGAGTTTGCTTCTCGCTAACTATCCGAACGTCTTGTTTCACTGGAATGGTATCTTATTCTCACGAGTTGACGTTGTGGAGGACTTGCATAGCAAGTTTGAAACTCTGAACGAGTTGATAACTCAGAGCGAGTTTAAACTCTTGTAAAAGAGTTGATTGATCTTAACCGTAATTGGTTAGACAAGCCAAGCATGAAGATAACCCTAAGAATCTGTTGCCGAGAAGATGATCCGAAGAAGCCGATCTCTAGATCTCCAAAATTCTCAAAGATCCAAAGATATCCCACCCTATTCTCTGCGATACGAACTAGGCTGATCTTTCAGGTATTTATAGGCGATTAGGGGGTGTAACCGCCCCTAAAATCGCTCCTTTGTGGGGCTAATGTGATGTAACCACCCCCTTAAATCACTCCTGAGTGGAGTTGTGACCCCCTCAGATCGTGGGAAATGATTTTGAAACCGTTCAGCTCGTGTTTGAACGAGTCAAATGCAAAATCCGCGTTCTGGCGTGAATTCTGCGTCCAAACGCAGCGTCTGGAAGCTCGTTTGCAGCGTCTGGAGACTACATTTGTAGCATTTGGAAGCTACGTTTGCAGCAATTTAGAAGCTGCGTTTAGTCTTTCCTTCCCCTAAGGCCAAGAGATGACTGTGGGAGCCGGCCAAAGGGTTGAGCTTGTTTTGCTTAGGACTCTTATCGTATCATTTCGTAAATACTGTATCTTGGGTAAGTGAACACCATAACAGCTACAGTAATGAATGCTATAGTATTTATTGTAGCATTAATAGTCGATCATCATGCTAGTGCTACAGTGCACTGCTACAGTATTACTGTAGCATGAATAGTAAATCTTGGATTCTTCTATTATTATAGATGAATAGATTCGCTCAATTTGTAGTGATTTCTATTATCCATGCCCTATCAGATTTTAAGTTGCCGCATAAGTTTATTTTCACCTTTGAAGTGTCGTACCCAAACACCATAAAACTTGGAAAGCTGCATCAAGACCACACGCTCTGACAACTTTCCAAATGAAAAAAATGCAGCCAAACGGCCCGTAGTTCTGAAATAAGAGAAGTGGCTCAGAATTAAACGCAAATACGCCTCAAACAAGTTAGGCCATCTCCAACCCATCGCACAAAAATAGTGCAAAAGTCACATTAAACAGTAATTCATCTCTAACCCACTACACTATTTTTTACACCAAAAAAGAATATTCTCAGTATATTCTTTTTATCTACTTTTATATTATTATTTTTTATTTTCTATATTTTTAACTATTTCAACAATTAACCCCACATATCAAATTTTATTTTTTTCACATATTTTTCAAACAAAATAATTTATTATTTAAAAAATTAAACTAATAAAAAAATAAAATATTATTTTATTAATTAAAATAACTTGATTGCTAAAATATTATATTTTTATTATTGATATTGCTAAAATATTATATTTAAGAACATAACAGAAAATAAAATATAAGAAAATAATTAACATTAACAACAATGTAAAAATTACAAATTTAATGTGTACTTAACTATCTGAATTAGTGTATTCCTCCCATAGGTGATCTATCAATGCATTACGAAGCGCAATATGAGCATCTTTATCCTTGATTTGTCTGTAACGTGCAATAAATTAATTAAATCTTATAGTTTCATCTGCTATAATATCAACTTTCTGGTGTTGGTGCTTCCCTCACTTCTTGTATTGGTGCATAAAGATCACGTTCATCCTCGATTATCATATTGTGCATAATAATGCATGTAGTCATTATGTCATGTAATACATGTTTTTTCCAAAACGTGATGATCCTGTCATAATTGCAAATCGTGATTGGAGAGCTCCGAACGCACGTTCTACATCTTTTCTACATGCTTCCTGTTTCATGGTAAAATATTTTTTCTTCCTACCTTGTGGCTGTTGGATTGTTTGTACAATAGTAGCTCATTTTGGATATACACCATCAGCTAAATAATAACTCATGTTATACTCTTTTCCTTGAATAACATAGTGAGCGGGAGGAGCAATAGCTTGAGCTGATTTAGAGAAAATATTAGATGGCTCCAGCACATTGATATCATTATTGGTGTCTGGCATACCAAAATATGCGTGTCATATCTAAAGATCATAATTTGCTATAGCTTCAAGGATAATAGTTGGTGACCCACTACGTCATGTGTATTGCCCAGACCATACCGTTGGACAATTTTTTCATTTCCAATACATACAATCAAGACTTCCTAACATTCCTGGAAAACCATGTTTTTTACCAATATAGAGTAGCCTAGCAATATCATTAGCGTTAGGTGTTCGTAGATACTGCTCTGCGAATATCTCCACTATAGCACGACAAAAATTTGACATACTTTCAATTGCTATTGACTCTCCTATTTTAACGTATTCGTTCATAGCATCAGCTGGTAGACCGTATACCAACATGCGAAAAATAGCTGTTACTTTCTGTAACGGTGATAATCCCATTCTACCTAGTCCATCACTTCGTTGTTGGAAGTAATAGTCATGATCTTTCATTGCATCAACAATACGAAGGAACAAACTTCGTGACATCCGATATCGACGACGAAACATATCTTCACCAAAACGTGGATTATCGGCAAAGTAATCTATGACCAAATTCTGATGCGTAGTTTCTCGATCACGGTTGATCACTGCATGACCGGGAATCGAGCCACCATGGATCGGTTGGTAGTTTTGTTGACGTAAATTGTTACTGATGAACATGTTGTTGTTAATGTACTCACGAATTACTTCTTCGGTTTCATCAATCACTGCAATGATATTTTTTAGAAAATTATCATCATCCGAAAATGAAGATGATGATAAATATGATGGACCTCCAGCACCAAAATTCATTTTTGAAGTAAGTAAATAATGACTGAAGTATGCAGAAATGGAGAATAATAATTTTAACACATCAACGAATAATTGTATGGAGGTACCTAATCTAGTATGCTATTTATAAAACTTTGCTTAGCTGTATACATTGAACAATGTGTAAAGTTAACCTGATTTTAGGAAATGATTTCTAGCTGTTATTAATTTGTCATAAAATTTAAATTTGTTTAGCTGTATACGTTGGACAATGTGTAAAGCTGAGCTAATTTCAGAAAATGATTCCCACTCATATAAAGTTTTCACATAATTCAATGAATGCTTAGCTGTATACGTTGGACAATATGTAAAGCTGAGCTGATTTCAGAAAATGATTCACACTCATATAAAGTTTTCACACAAATTAATGAATGCTTAACTGTATATGTTGGAAGATGATGTGTAAAGATGATCAGTTTGTACACAACGATTCAATTTCAAATGTTGACCACCGACAAATTCAAATTCAAAAAAAAATTTGAATTGGCTATAAATAACATTCACAAATTCTACTTCAAACCACCTAATTCGAAGTATTTCTTCAAAGTATTTCTAATCTCCAAACCAACCGTTTTTTACAAAAAAAATGTCGGTTCGATCATCTGGATACACGGTTACTGAAGATGTGCTCCCTTGTCAAGTATTCATGAATATTTCTCAAGACCATATTATCGGTAGAAACCAGTCTCGAGATGCATTTTGGTCTCGTGTGGAGGACAGTTACAATGAACTTTGAGATTAGCATTTTGAGGTGCGTACGAGCCGATCGGTTTGTTCTCGAATGGAAATCATAAGTAATGAAGTAAGGAAATTGAATGTGTTCTTAAGACAAGTAGAGAATCTGAATCCAAGTGGTGTTTCAGATGGATATATTGTAAGTATTCTGTTAATTATCTTTTAAAATTTATTATTATTGTTGAAATACATAACTTGATGTTCACTATAATCTGCAGTTAGTTTGAGCAAAGATGTTATTTATGCAAGAACCAAAGTACAAAAAAGGTTTCAAATTTGATCATGTCTGGAATATGGTTAAAAATTTCGAAAAATTTAAAGATGATGTCCCCACAGCAAGACAAGTTGGTCGAAGACAACCCCAAAGTGTGAACTTCGACTCGTCACAATCAGATAATCCCACTCCGAAATCCCCCTATATCAACATCTCCTGGACTGTCATCATTTACTCCACCTGAACGACCTATTGGGGTAAAAAAACCAAGTTGAAAAAGAAAAATGATGATCATGAGTCAAATGTAGTGGACTCCATCGACACAAATAACAATCGACTTATAGACAGGTTAGACAATGCGAGCTTGGACAGACAAGTAGCATTTGATATCGAACGAGAAAAGATAGCCATGACAAAAGATAGAGATGAATGAAAAATTATAATGAAAGATTTGAATTCCATTGCTGATCCAAACGTGCGTGAGTACGTTCGAGCTCAAAAAATTAAAATAATACAAAAAAGAAATCAACAAGAACAAGAGTATGCTTCTAATTTTGGCAATTATTTCAATGATATTGGACACTCTGGATCCGATCCACCAGATTATTAAGAGTTGCTTGTCCATCTTATGTAATGTTATATGTTTAGTTTGTATTTTATGTTTTATTTTAATGAAGTTTTATATTATATGTGACAGTTTTTATATGTTATGTATTTCGGTTATGTAATTTATATTTGAATTATGTGTTAGGATTGCTCTTTATATTTTTAATTTATATCTCATGGGACTTTAATTATAATGTCTAGATTTTAATATTATAATTAATAATAATATCTTTTAAACTTTAACATTATTTTATTATTTAAAAATAATTTATTTTGTTCAAATTATACAATTGGGCTAAAATTATAAAATTTAAATATTATTGGGGTTGTTTTATAAATTTAAATAAAACAGTTAGGGTCAAATTGTAAATACATAAAATTAAAAGATAAAAAAAAGTAAAAAAAAAAACAATAATGCGGTGATGAACAGTGCGACGCCATATTTGCCGTCGCACTGTTCGATTTCGCTAAAATGCCCCAAGGAATGCGGCTCAACGGCATTTTTAACTGTTGTTTGCGGCATTTTGCCGCTGCGTAGGAGTTGGCCTTAGAGAGAGAGAGAGTCTCGAGGAATTGACCCGAACACCCCCAAATCAAACAGATCGTGAGTTGTATTTGAATCTTTTCTGATATGAACCCTCTTTCCTTCTTCCTCAAAACAACGGTAAAAATACAACGTGCTTCTAGAGGGAGGGGGCGAGGTTCCATGTTGTCGTACTTTTTAGTTGTTGTTGTCTAGGTGTGGACCGTGGAAGTAAAAGCCCGGTCGCGGGTCTCATTGTGTGCAACACGACCCACGGTATCGTGGTCAAGCGCCCACGATAAGTAGTGGCGCCTCTTGATACGCGGGGCGTCAATCGCAGGCTCGCAGCAAAAACAAGGCAACATGAGATTTGATGTAGCAATGAAAAAGACATAGGGGTCTAAAATCATAAAAACCATAATAAAAAAAAAATCAATAGGACCTATGTATTTTAATTCTTTATGTAGACTCGACCAAAAACTTTCCTCCAAACGCCTCCCCTCTAGAAACCGCTGCTTCGACTCGCGAAAGGGTGAAATGTCTGACTTTTGACGCAAGAAAGGAAATTCATTCCATTCTTTTTTTTTTCAAATTTAATAACACGTTGATATCATTAACAGGAGAAAATGTGATACAATTAAAAAAAAAAAGACAAAATTTTGAATTCGACCAAACTTCATTGTCAAAAACGACTAATTTTCAATTTAATTGTTAAAATCGACCCAGTTTTAGATTTTGGAGAAAAATTTTACGAAACTTCATGGGACTTGAAGTCCCGTGAAGTTTTATACCCGCAAAAGTTACGGTCTCAGTTTCTTCACGGATCGTAAATAACGACGCGCTTAAATTTCATGATTTCGCCAAAATCGACTCAGTTTTAACCAACTCGCTAAAACAAAAATAATTTTAACAATTAAATTAGAAATAAGTCGTTTTTAACAATTAAGTTGCCAAATGAGTCGAATTTGAAAATTTGTCCTTAAAAAAAATAGCAGAAACACTCTCCCTTCTCAACATCTCTCTTCTTTATTTTATATATAAAAGGTAAGGGAACCCGAGCTTTGCAGCCTCCAGATTCTCCTCCCTCCCTCTTCAGATCTCTTCATCGTCGTCCTCCTCCTCCTCCGTCACGATGCACCGGACTTCATCTTCTTCTTAAAAGCCATCAGATGGCCTCAGATCCTCGAGCCATCAAAACCTTTAACGTTATCCCCCCCCCCCCCCCCCAATTAAATCGAGTTGCTGTTTTTTGCGATTCTCGATCGGATCTGATTCGATCTGATTTGTTGTTTGCAGAGCTTTTTCCCTGCGATGACGAAGATCGTGGGGACGCTGGGTCCGAAGTCAAGGAGTGTTGAAGTGATCTCTTCTTGTCTTAAAGCTGGGATGTCTGGTTAGGGTTTTTGAAATTTCTCGAACCGAGATCTCACTTTATTTATTTATTTATTTATTTATAATTATAATCAAGCTTTGATTTCGTCTTCGTTTCGTTGTTGGTTGGGTTGTTGCAGTGGCACGATTTGATTTCTCGTGGGGGGACATTGATTACCACCAGCAAACTCTGGAGAACCTCAAGATGGCTGTTAAGGGCACCAAAAAGCTCTGCGCTGTAAGTCTTATTATTGTTCAATTTTAGAGTTGTTTGCACTTTAATACCCTAAAGTTTTTACCGTCTGTAAGTTTGATACCCTAAAGTTCTATTTGTCAGTTTAATTTTGTTCGGGAATATCAGCCAAGAAAAACAAATTTCATCACCAAATTACAGTTTTTTTGAGTTTCGAGAAAGTGAGGAACAAAGTTAGGGCTTTTAGGGTATCAAAGTTAGAAAAGTGCGAAACCTTGGGGTTTTAAGGCGGCAGACTGAGCTTTTAGTTTTGTTTGATAGATCACTAATTTGGTCTGTACATGAAAGGTCTCCTCTTGATCTTTCGGTGTCTTGTCTGATCCGATCTTTTTGGTTCTATAAGGTGATGCTCGATACAGTTGGACCAGAGTTGCAGGTTGTCAACAAAAGTGAGCGTGCGATTTCACTTGAGGCAGATGGTTTTGTCACCCTGACACCTGATCAATCCAAGGAAGCATCCTCTCAGCTGCTGCCGATAAACTTCACCGGACTGGCAAAGGCAAGGACCTTTCATATGCAGCATAAAAATAAACTGTGTAAATAAGGCTTGTAATCGATTATGTCTCTTATATCGACAATTTGATATGGTGTTATAAAGCAACCAACTCAACCACATCATGCATTTTGTCTCTGCCATCAAGTTTTGCTTGTTAGTGTCAGATGTTTAGGTTTTGTATCTTTTCCTTTCCCATTTTACTGTCATTAAGTCATAATTCTTACTATACCTTCTATGAATTCCGTCTATTTTATGAGCAGATGATAAAAAATGTTTTAGGCACTTGATAGTGTATAAAATTTATAATTCCTGATGGTAATGCATGAGAAAAGAAGTAGCACAGTCAGTCAGCACTAAAGAGAAGAAACTTAAATGGTCCTCCATGTCATTGCCAATCACTTTCTGCACATATCCTAGGCCTCTCAGTTTATTAGTTTGCCTAAACTGTACTTTAGTTGTCAATTGTCATAATTATTTTGAACAGTAAAAAATTTTAGTTCCTATCGACTATAAAGCATGCATGTTCAATTTCTTTCACATAAATGACTTCAAGGCACTCAAGAATAATTACACAAAGCTAGATGGGCGGAAGTTTTCTGGTGTTTGAGAGTTCCCTTATAGTTAGTTACAACTCTTAGGCCTTGTTTGGTAATAAGAGTTAGTCTAGAGGTAAGGCCCTTAAGGGTAACTCTTACCTAACACAAAAAATTGTGACAGTTAGTGTGTAGGAACTAAAAGGGAGTATTGTCATTTTAGAAAATATTCATGCAAATAGAACTCTAATTTCTGGCAAGATTCTTTAGTCATACTTCCATGTGTTTAATGCAATAGGCCTAACTCATGATGGGACATAAGATTCTGTCTTATGCTACATCTAGAAATGCATGTCCAAGACAAATCAATTGAAATAAATGGGTATCACAAATAGTTTTTTTAAACAACAAATTGATAACTGTGGAGCAGACATTGCTATATTGAGATTAAGTTATTTTTGGCGCATTCAAGTAATATCTTCCACTTCTACTCCTTATTTTTTGTGCTATAAGCCTGTAGGAAATTCTAATGGGTTCTATTATTATCATATTATTTTAACGCTAAACTTGAAACTTGAAAGATCTCTCGACCCTATGCTTTTATGGCAATAAAGTGATAAATGTTGTCAGAATGCAGTGTATATGTACAACCAGTGTGCAATATGTACAACCAAACTTCATATGTTATTGAAAGTAAGAAGCATAATTTTGATTCATCTGGTCACCAGATTTGCCAAATAAGTTTCAAGACAGCTGCGGCCGAACACAACTTTTCTTACTATAGGTAATATTTTCTTTTCCTTGCAGGCGGTGAAGGCAGGCGACACTATATTCATTGGTCAATACTTGTTCACTGGAAGTGAAACTACTTCAGTTTGGCTAGAGGTATGACTATCAGGCTATCAATTACCCTGACCAGTTTAGATATTTAATCATCCTTATGGAAAACTTTCAGCAGAAAGAAAGTATGTTTCATCTCTGTGCACATTTGGTGGTATTACTTGCTAAGGACATGTTTGGCAAATGGCTTATTTTAGATAATAAGCCACCAAAAAATAAACTAGTGTATCGTAGTTTATTTTTTGGTGGCTTATAAGCCACAAGGTTTGACCAAGTTAAAGTCCAATATACCCCTCACATTTCACAAAATTCCAAACTCCATTTAACTCTCCAACCCTATTAAATGTTTTATGGTCATTTTGACAGTAATGATGGCTTGTAAGCCATCCATTTGCCAATCACTCTACTGTTGAATATTGATTATCATCAACTAGATTTACCAAACACTTTGGCTTATAATCCACTTGCTTTTAATCCATTTTTAGATTTTTAGATTATAAGCCAAGTGGATTATAATCCGAAGTTGCCAAACTTGCTTTAAGTTGGACACATTCTAATTTTCCTTTGTCAACTTATCACTTCAGTAGAAGTGACTATCTTGTTTACCAATTCACTTGTAAAAGTGAATTATAAGCCAAGTGGATTATCTTCCAAAGTCGCCAAACATGCTCTAAGTTGGACACGTTCTAATTTTCCTTTTGACAACTTATAACTTCAACAGAAGTGGCCTATCTTGCTTACCAATTCACTTGTAAAACTGATAAAATTTATCTGATATGGCTTTATTTCTCATGTTGCTTTCTTATGCAAACTCTTTGCCTTCATTCATTTTGCAGGTTGCTGAGTTAAAGGGTGATGATGTTGTTTGTGTGATTAAGAATACTGCTACTCTGGCTGGATCTCTTTTCACTCTGCACATTTCTCAAATACACATCAACTTACCTACACTAACAGATAATGACAAAGATGTAAGTATATATATGTACGTGTGATAAAAATTTACATTGGGTCGAATCACCGAATATTTCCAGATTTTAGAACTAACAAACCCATTCTGTTATTAAGCATTCTATTTCTGATACCACTCTTTCTTTCTGTTACATCGATAATGTAAAAACCCAGCATTTTAGCATGTTACCCTGGTAGTTAAGAATCCTAGTTTATGGAGGAAAGCATTGAAAATAAGAAACATAATATTTTTTTCTTCCTGGTCTCTTCCTTGCATTTTGCCATGTTATGCATCATAAGACTTTTGGAAGGATTGAAGAAAATTCCAAAAACCTGTGGTCAGTGGGATTGTTCTGAGCCACATAGCACTTTGACTATTATGGCTAGCCATAATTACATCAACTGGTCTATTTAAGTGGTCATGTAGGGTTTAAACATCTTGCTTCTTCTTTTCCACAAGGTTCACGCTGCTTATTGCTATTACCATACTGCTTTGTGATTTTCAAAGCCGTTTTAGCCTTTCAGGGTTTTTTAGTCTGTTTGCGTTCAATGTGCATGTGCCTTCCTGAAGGTTATTGGTCTTGGATCCTTGGTCTATTTATTGTGTGCCTTCTTATATTTTACTTTGACTTAGCTTTGAATAATGTACACTTTGAATAATGTACACTTTGAATAATGTACGAAAATCCTTGATCCTCCATACATGTGGAAATGAACAAAGATAAGTCTTGTTTTCTGCTAGCACTAGTCTTATCTACTGCAAATTACTGATATTTTTTTACCACAAACTCTCTAATTTTACATCATCAATTGTTTCAGGTCATTAGTAAATGGGGTGTTCGGAATAATATCGATTTCCTCTCATTATCATATACAAGGCATGCAGAGGATGTTCGACATGTAAGACACGTTCTTATTGGTTGGCTTTATGCATCTCCCTTGCGCATAATTTTTTTTAGCTGTGTAGTAGCAATGAATAATCAATATTCTCTTGTTGTATTCCATTTTCCTGCTGGAATAATGGGTTTCCTCTGCTCATTACAATTTAGGCGCGTGAATTTCTGTCAAAGTTAGGCGACCTCCACCAGACCCAGATTTTTGCAAAAATCGAAAACATTGAGGCAAGTTGCTTTAGAATCTTTTGCTTGAATACATCATTTCCTTATCTGAGTGATAGTTTTTCTAGTTTTCACTCACTTCTCCTCTTCAATTTTTTTTGCAGGGGTTGACCCATTTTGATGAGATTCTACAAGAAGCGGACGGCATCATTCTTTCTAGGGGGAATCTGGGAATTGATCTCCCACCTGAGAAAGTGAGAAACTTATCTTTGCATGCTAGATGGAGAAGTGAGAAGGTTGTTTGCTTTATGGCATTGTCTTGTGAACCTAGTATTTCATGAAATGTATTTAAGCATGGTTGGACATGCATCCAGGCATGGCTGTTACAAAGCTACCATTTACCCTGTGAATAGGGTGCTTGTCATGTAGATGAGCATGTAACACTATCAGGTGGCTCACAGTTTTTGCTTGCCATATTGTCTCTTTATAACAACACGCAGGAGAACTTTTTACCCTTCAAATACAAGCATATCTTGCTGGTAGGCAATCAAATATGCAAACAGTTCTTTTTCTTCATATGTCATCAACTATGATCACAGCATCCTATCTATTCTCATTTTTTTGCTTGTTTAATCAGGAGGATATACGTAGCAAAGTTTTGATTGACCTTTTGTACAAGGATTAGGAAGCTTATAATAGTTGAGAATGCACTAGTGTGAGAAATACAATCCAACATTGTTTTACAAAGCGGTCTTGGTGGCCGCTTAAACCTAATCGTACCTAAGCCGCTAGCGTAAGTCTTGGGAGCACCTAGGGGAGAACGGGTTGCTTATGCGGACTGTATGGTGCTGGAAAGAGTATGGTGTTGGAAAGGTGTATTGCTCGCTTAAGCATAGTAATGATTGAAGAGAGTTAGCTAGGTTGAAATGCATTGGCAATCAAAACTCTCTGCCTAAGTCTATCTCAAGTAAAACAGTGAGGATATGATTTGAATCTTCAAAAACGATCCTCCCTCTCTTGATGTTAAAAATGTCTGTGTGCCGCTTAAGCGTCCGCCTAGGCGCTTGGGCCCTGAGCGCTACGTATGGCACCTAGAAACGTCTAGCGCTTTCTAGAACATTGCAATAAAATAAAAAGGAGAGAGATGACATCTAGATTAGTAAACAAGATTGTTGATTAGCGGCTCACGATTGTAGAAAAGTCTTATTGCACATTTATTAGTCTTGAGGAAGAATTGGCATGATGTTTGTAATTGGTTTTGTATCATCTACGCTGCTTATGCGGACTGTATGGTGTTGGAAAGAGGTGTATTGCTCACTTAAGCATAGTAATGGTTGAAGAGAGTTAGCTAGGTTGAAATGCACTGGCAATCAAAACTCTATGCCTAAGTCTATCTCAAGTAAAACAGTGAGGACATGATTTGAATATTCAAAAACGATCCTCCCTTTCTCGATGTTAAAAACATCTATGTGCCATTTAAGCATCCGCCTAGGCGCTTGGGCCCTGGGCGCTACGTATGGCACATAGAAACATCTAGCGCTTTCTAGAACATTGCAATAAAATAAAAAGGAGAGAGATGACATCTAGATTTGTAAACAAGATTGTTGATTAGCGACTCACGATTGTAGAAAAGTCTTATTGCACCTCTTTCCTCTTTTGGCACATCATTTTTGCACACTAATATTTTAGTTATTGGAGTAGCAATTTAATTTCCTTTGCTATCTCAGGTATTTCTGTTTCAGAAAGCTGCTCTATATAAGTGTAACATGGCTGGAAAGCCTGCAGTTGTTACTCGTGTGGTTGACAGTATGACCGACAACCTAAGGCCAACTCGTGCAGAGGCCACCGATGTTGCCAATGCAGTACTTGACGGTATATTCTGATGCTAAAACAGTTTCTATAGAATTGTTGTAGCTTGTTTGACATCCAGGCAAATTACCAATGGCATTTTAGTTCATCTAATTTGTGCTACATCTATGTCTTAAAGCCATAACATGCTTGTCTTTTTAATTGGGCTGTTTATTGTATTCAGGAAGTGATGCAATTCTTTTAGGTGCTGAAACTCTCCGTGGGTTATACCCAGTTGAAACCATTTCCATTGTGGGTAAAATTTGTGCAGAGGTAAGCATTGTGCTTTCTGTTAAAAAACGGTATTTACTTATGCTTGCTTTATGGAGAGCTGAGATGACCTTCTGGGAATTTATGATTGTGTTACTTAGAAAAGTTTACTTGACTGTGTAGCGCTTTATAGGGCTAAATGGTGTATTCTCTTCTCTCACATTGGGATTTCGGAATGATCATTGGCTATAAATTACGTTTTCTACTCAGTCTTAACTTCTATCGTGACGTATCCAAATGATGGTCAATTATGAAATTAAGGCACATGAAAACGTGCCCCGGATCTTAATAACAAGAGAATTTGCAGAGCCAAACTCTGATGTGTTCAATAAGCCAATAATTTTCAGATATGTGATCCATAGATACTTTTTCATAAGGATATGTTATTATATGATGGTTTCATTTGCATAAATCACTTAATGTGTAATGCTTACTGAGCACATGGGAAACTCACCTTGAAAATAAACACAATTTCAGATCGCAACGACTCGCTGGATTAAAACCGGCATGCCGTGGGGATGTGAACACAATCGTTGGCTGCAGTGTATCTTATCTAGATAGTATATTGGTAATAAAGTGGTCATAAATAAAACCATCATATAAGTATATAATAAATAAGTCTTTTGGATTTGGAATATAAAACTGTTATGGATGATATATCTGGATCCTGGAATATGCTTATTGAAAATGTCAGGGTTAGGCTATGCAAGTCCTTTTGTTAAGAGGATTTGTGCCCGGCCGTGACATGCCTTAATTTTATAATTGATTGTTTGTCTTGGTTTTGGGATTGACAGTAGTCCATCTACATTTAGTATTTATAATCTATCTACATTTGGTAATTATAAGTAATATGAATTCACGCAAAAGTGAACAGTATACGATATAGAGCGGATTCACTTACTATTCTCTATGTGAATGAAGATTCATAATACAGTTTAGGAATGTCCCGAAGCTGTAATGATCAAGTCATTGACATTCTGAGTCAACTAAACTTATTCCAGTTTCCATATCTAATGCAATTTGCACCAATAGTTGTCAATTAGGATAGCAGATTATTGCATAAGCCTACATGTGTCCTATTAGTAAATCTCTGTTTCAACTACTTTTATGACATGCAGCAAGTTCTGTTTTTGGTTTTTGTCGCTAATCACTTTTAAGCACATATTTGTAGGCTGAAAAGGTTTTCAACCAAGACCTGTACTTCAAGAAGACTGTGAAGTATGTTGGAGAGCCTATGACTCACTTGGAGTCTATTGCTTCATCCGCCGTATGCCTTTTCCCTTTTCCATCTTTCATCAGCTTTTCATGTTTTGTATTTTGTGCGTTGTAACTGTGTTAGAAGAACAGGTTATCTACAATATGATTTGTGGAAAGTTGCTCTCGTAGATTTTGCTTATAATCATGTTCTTACAGGTGCGTGCTGCAATTAAAGTTAAGGCTTCTGTCATTATTGTCTTTACTTCATCCGGAAGGGCGGCAAGGTACTGCTATAATTGGATACAAATCAAAGATAGATCTTATTTTCTCTAGAAGTGAAAGTTGTAATTACTGCACAAGTAATACGATTTTATTTGCCAGCTCCTGAATATAGGAAAGAAGTCTTGATATTTTTTCCTTTTATGCAGATTAATTGCGAAGTACAGGCCTACAATGCCTGTATTATCAGTTGTCATCCCTCGGCTCAAGACAAACCAACTCAAATGGAGTTTTAGTGGTGCTTTCGAGGTAATGGACTATTTTCAATTAAATTAATGTTTAACAGATTTGGCTTTGTTTTTAAACTTCCTTTTTTGCATCATGTACTTTGGTTTTCCCATTTTATTTTAGTGGCTTAAGTATCCATGTGGCGCTACTCAACATTTCTCTTTGCAATGACTATATTAATATTGTATCTCACCATAAATGTTGAAGATGGTTTTGAGTATGATTTTCTTTGATATTTTTATTTCTCTGAATCGGTATCAGAATAACTGAATGTTCCTGTTATCTTTATTGAATTGGCAGGCTAGACAGTCACTTATTGTTAGAGGGCTTTTCCCAATGCTCGCGGACCCTCGTCATCCTGTAAGCTTATTATATTCAATCCTGCTCATTAATATGTTCGATGGCTAGTTAATAGTTGCTTATTCTGGTGCATTTTGTATTATATCCTGATGGGATTGATCTCAGTGGATGAACTTGCTAGGTATATAAGATTTGTACTATTAAAGAAATAGGATAAAAAATGAAGTAAAACTTTGAAGTAATGAGAATTAAAGATGAACATGAGTCAATACTTTTGTGTAATTCTAAAGAGTAAGGAGGAAGAACAAAAAGTAGCTTCTGAAGTTTTACTCGAGCTACAAGCATGAAATGACGTGTGAGCCAAATTATTTGAATGAAGAAGAGAGAACAAATGACATTACTGTAGTGAAGAAATGCTCTTGCTGTAGAAATGGAAAGAAACACAATCCTGAAGTCCAACCAAAACCATACTATGTATATGCATAAACGGAAGTGGACTTGAGCAAGCTATGATTCATTCGAGGTGGACTACAGACTGTTATACGTCCAGTTAATAAAAGCCCTGATGGTATTGTTGAGAATCCATTCAAGTTTGGCTCAGGAATTTACCAAATCCATGGGAAAGGCAGCAGAGATAATTTTTTATAAATCAATGGAAAGTCTAAACTCTAACCTTAAATATCCAGAGTACTATATAAAAAAGTTCTTTCAGGGTTTCCCCTGTAATTAAGAACATTAGAAAACATTTGAGAAAATATTAGTTGTATCAGGAAATAATATGCGCCTGGTGATAACGACAGAATTCCCTCCTTCCTTTATCTTTTGCTTGCGCACTTGGCATCATGCGGTGCAAGCAGGCAAATCTCCAGCTGTGAAAGATGATGGGACCTGGATCATAGGGAAACAAGCAAGATAGGAGATCCCACAACTTTTTCTTCTAAACTCAACTGCAACAATCATGTTCTTTAAGTAATCTGGGTAATTGCTGGTTTAGCTTGTCTAAGTTAAATTACTGGGTTGCTGGATTAGATTAAGCTGTCATCATGTTTGATATTTTATCGTCACTTCTAACATCATTTTCTGCAATCACTACCAAGATTTCTTATTTTAAATGTTTTAAATAGTGACTCGAAGTAGAAAAATTTACAACAATGCTCAAACCTACTCGCCCAACTCTGACAACTCCCATCTCTAGCATCCTTCCCCTCCCTCTCCCTCTCTGTCACTTAGAAACACCCCACCATGTTCGCTAGGGACATTATGTGCTATGAACAACTTCTGCTCAGTCCTGATCATTATAGCATGATTTGTATCGATATAGCATGATTTTAAGTTTGGTTGTATTGTCATTACCAATTTCTTAGATGAGTAACTTGAAGCTGAGCAGTAATATTCTTCCGGCCAATGGCTAGAGACAATAATCAAGTAAAAAAAATACATTTTGCCTTTCTTCTGCTTCCATTTGATGATAGTATTAAGATTAAAGTACTAGAGAGAAGGTAACGAGTTGTCTAGGAGAAGGTAATGGACACCATGGGCTGGTAACTTGTGCTGGCAATGTTTGACAGCGATCTAGGGTCTCTATCTAGATCCTTTCAGGAGATTTAGGGTTGTGATTTCCACTGAAGATGGAACTGAAGAAGAAACAAAGTTAATATTCAGTAACCCTACTCTTGTTGAAGTAGTTACAATAGATTATCTTGTCCCCACTATGAAATATGACTTGCATGTAGCTAACATGTTTTTCTTCCAGGAAAAATTCTGAAAAGAATAAAAGAAGATACTCATCCATTTTATTGGTATTCGCGATATTCTTGTCTGTAAAGCTGACAAGTTTTATGTTGTGCTTGTGTAGGCTGAGTCCACGAGCGCCACCAACGAGTCAGTTTTGAAGGTTGCTCTCGATCATGGAAAGGCCTTTGGGGTCATAAAGTCACATGACCGAGTCGTCGTTTGCCAAAAAGTAGGTGATGCTTCTGTGGTGAAGATCATTGAGTTGGAAGATTGATAACTCTAGAGATTTGGCTGCAATAAAGCTTTTTTTTTGTTTCTCGACGCTGAAGGAAAGCAGGGTAGAATGCTGAATGTTATATTGTGAGGTTGTGCTGGCAGGGGCACAGACCTTTTACATTTGTATGTAGATGCTCATGCGTGGTTTTACTGGGCATATGATTGCAACAATGACAACATGCAAACTTCTGAGATGTGCAATAACAGTCTCTTTTTTGTTCCTCATGCTCTAAATATTTTTTTCTTGCACTATATGAAATGGGCAAAATGCTGATGGCTCGTATGTTTTTAGGCAAGCGAGTACCAGTTCATGATATAGAGGTGGTTTGTTTTTAGTGAAAATTGCTTCTAGCCCCTAATTTCCTTTCAAGTATTCTGCTGCCCTCCCCCTCGACTTTTTCAACGTTCCTAAAACCCCCAACAGCAAAGCCATAATTTCATGAGTTCCAAAACACAAAACCCAACACGTAAACTTCACAACCAACTCGTAACCTTAACAACTAACTCGTAACATTTAAAACCAACACGTAATCTTTCTTCACCACCAACTTATTAAGTGAAATAACAACAATATATAAATTTACAAACTCTACTTTAATCTCAAATCATTGATTTAAAAAAAAAATACAACAATATGTAAACTTAAGGGGATTAGCGACGCAACTCGTCATCACCGTCTTCAAGATCCCAGTTTTCTTCGGCTCATGAAAGAATGCCGGGAAAGTTTCACCGTCGATGTTGACGCCGTTGGAAAAATTTGGAGGGAACCCCAAACCCCAAAAAAAAACCCATTTCAAATCATCACAGTAACATCATGAAAGAGAGAGAGAGTATTATGGTCTTCACATATTTTTAACTCTTGGGTTTTGTGTTTTGGGGCTCAGGGAATTATGACTTTACTTTTGGGAGCGTTGAAAAATTCAAAGGGGATACTTCTAAGAAAATTGAGGGCTAGAAGCAATTTCCCCTTGTTTTTAACATTGCTAGCTTCAGAATGCTGTCATGTTATTAGAGAGGTGTCAAATAGCTGGCAACATAGTTGGTTTGCTAATCACTCGCTTTTCTAATTTTGTTTCCCATATGTTTTTAAATTTTCAAAACCAACTTATTTACAAATTTAATCGCAGAAAACAACCCATTTCAAATTTAATTGCAAAAACCGACCTGGTTTCAGCCCTGGAGCTGAAATCAAGTCGTTTTTTGAAAATTTTTATCCGAAACTTCACGGGAGTTGAACTCCCGTGAAGTTTCGTAGTTCAAAATTTTTTTTTTGTACTGGGAAACTTCACGGGAGTTCAACTCCCGTGAAGTTTCGAAAGTTTTTTCACAAAAACCGACCTGGTTTCAGCGCCAAGGCTGAAACCAGGTCGGTTTTTGCAATTAAATTTGAAATGGGTTGTTTTCTGCGATTAAATTTGTAAATAGGTTGGTTTTGAAAATTTGTCCTATGTTTTTTTGTCTCGTTGCAGTAGCGTGCGACAATCGCTTAGGGGGGTTATTGGTTGAGATATTTTGGGGGATAATGGGATAATTTTAGGGATTCTATTTCATAGTGTTATTCATTGGGACAATAGAACAAGAATAATATCTTTTTGTGTTATTAGTTTTTTGGAACATTAGTGAGACAATTACACCACTTGGGATAAAATTACCCCACTCATATACAAAAATTTTGTCCCAATAGTAAAAATTTACCCCATCCTCCATATTGGAACAATGTTGTTCCACTTTGAAGGCAATTGGGATAATTTTAAAATATTTTTGTATTACTTAACTAATACATGCAATTATATATTATAAATATATGACATGATATATAAAATTTAACATATATTAATATTTTAATGATATAATTTAATAACATATATTAATAATATTATATAATAGTAATTATAGTATAACATATTTATTATAATATTATATAATATTGTAATAACATATATTAATAATATTATATAATAACATATATTAATTTTTTAACAACATATATATAATATTTTAATAACATATATTAATAATATTATGTAATATATTATTATATAATATTAATTAGTAATTATAGTATAACATATTTATTATAATATTATATAATATTTTAGTAACATATATTAATATTTTAGTAACATATATTAATATTTTAATATAATAATATTATATAATATAATATAATATATTAACTATAACATGATACCTTTTAATATATATTATTGTAATTATCATGTAATATATATATATGTTATATTATATTTTAATTTTAATATAAAATTTTAAAATATTACATTGAATAAAGTAAAATATTATAATATTTTATAAAGTACATTATATCCTATGATACTATATTATAATATATTAAATTAAATAATATATTATTAAAGTATTATATTATATATATTATTCATATATTATATTAATTATTATATAATGTAGCATACTAATATAATGTTAATTAGTAATTATTGTATAACACATTATATTTTTGTATAAATAAAATAATGTATTATATTAAATATAGTGATATTATATTTTATTAATTATTATATATATTATATCATGCTAATATAATATAATATAATACAATATAATAATTAATAATATTAATTTATAAGTATAGTACAATATATTATATTTTAATATAAAGTAAAATAATATTTATATTATAATAATATACAAAATAATATACTAAACCAATTGAATAAGTTAATTTAGAAGTAATTAATAGATAAAATTATATTTTAATAAGGTGCCACATCATCAATTATCCCACATGAATTGTCAAATCAAATGCTCAAATTATCCCATTATTCCACTTTATCCCACCTTACCCCACTCAAAATATCCCAAAAGGGTAAATTTGTTCAATTTGAACAATTTTCCTACTTGGCCCCAATTTGTCCCAACCATAACCCCCTCTTATAACACACCATTCTGGTGGTCGTATTTTGGTAATATGATGATTTGATGTATATCAGTTTAAAATGGACAACCACAAGATCAACTTTTGTTTGAAACTAAAAAAATAATAAAACAAATACATTTGTAAACACTGCCAAGATAATTTTTTTGAATGATAATACTTTCAAGATAATTAATCTCAATAATGAATAAGTTGAGAATGAATAATAGCATTAAAAGTCATAATTACATAATAATAGCTTTATTCACGAAAGATAGTTTATGAATGATTTTGTTAAAACTTTTCTTTTGATTAATAATGATTGTTAAAACTTAATTATGGTATTTACCCATCACGGGTGGACGTCCCATTATGGCTCTCACCATCTTGAGTTCGATTCTGTGCATAATTATATTAAAAAAAGTATGACAATTCTAGCGAGGCGTTGTTGTTATATGAGAATAACAGATATAGCTTGCTCAATAAGAAGAAAAATAATAAAAAATAAGAAATAAGAAAAACTTGTTCATTTCCCCTTTATAAAGGGGATTTTGGGTTTTTATCATATTAGACCCTCCAAAGCCTTCTTTAATTGTGAACTAGAGTCCCAAATCTTCATTAAATTATATCTAAAATCTTTTCAGTTCTTTCTAAGGAGACTCCTAGACAGATTTCATACAAATTTTTCTTTACTCATAAGAAGAGTAATTATAGTCGCACATACTAGCATTAACGCACGTACAACCGACACTAAAATTTTAATTATTCTAATTTTTATATAGAAAATAGTCATTTTCATACCATAAAGTATTGTAGATATTTCGAAGAGCTTGTTATAATATTTATTCATTTAATATGTGATATTTTTATTTTAACTTATTCGAAATTGGTTATGACATTTATATTGAAATATATTCAAACTCTAATTCCTTGTTTTGTTGTATATATTTACATGGAAAAGAGTTATTATTTCATACTTGTATCTTTTATAATATATACAACATAATATATATTTAATTAGTCAGCTCTATGGTACGCTTTAGAAAATTATAGCAATAAAGAAAGAGAAAAGAAAAGAAAAAGAGAAGGAATTTTTTTTTTTGTGTGTAAAATGATCAAATCGTCCTAACGTCTTTAGTCGGATGAAGAGTAACTTTTTGATGCCCTTCAAACTTTTCCTACCTTCACCAATGTTTTAAGATAGTAGTATAGACAATGAAGAGCATCCTCCAAAATAACTTTGAGAGGTGCGGGGGTTTAATGTAAAAATATAGGCACTTGAGGCCTAAGCTATAATTAACAAATATGTGGAGGTCTTAATATGACAAAAACCCAGCGGGGGTTTAAGGGGAAACCCTCCCCAAGAGCGCTCCCCCAAAATTTCCGCCATCGGCCATGGAAGAGGAGGAGGCGTTGAGGGTTCGCGTGGTCTTCGACGATCGCAAGCTCCTTACAAAGCCTCAGAGATCGGAGGGTCTGAAGCGGTGCTGGCTTCTCTTGAGGAGGCCATCGATCTCCACCATCTCCGACCTCGCCTCTTATATCCTCACGAGCTTCAATCTCAAGCTCTCCTGCCCCCATGGCCTCCTCCTCTCTGTAAGTACTCACACAAAGTAACCCATTACAGGAAAATATAATGATCTCCCAAGTTATTGATGGTAATTAAACTAACATGCTTCTGGTTATTGAGGAAAACCTTGTTATTTACACACACACACGCACGCATGCGCATCTACTATATTTTTGAAGGGGAAAGTTCTACGGGACATTTATAAGACTGCCAATGCTTTATGGATCAAGATGTTGCGCAAATTAAAGAACATGTTTAAAAAGATGTCTGCGGCATGAATGCTAATGTCACGACGGTCTTGTGCATGTGCACTAAAAGATAGGGTAAGGAATGAGTGGTTCGTAGGAAAATTAGAGGTTGTTGCTATTCAGGATAAAATGAGAGGGTATCTACTGAGATGGCTTGGTCACATACAACTGAAAGCAATAAATGCACCAGTTAGAAGAAGTGATAAGATTATGGTTAACTGGGGTAAACATGACTAGAGATATAGATATATTAATGATTAACTTAACGGAGAAGATGTCTCATAGCAGAAATGAGTAGAAGAATTGGATTTGTGCAACTGATTCCAGAAATTTGTTGCAAAGGCTTTGTTGTTTTTGCATACTATGTACCATTAGTCTGCATTATTATTTTTTTTTTTGAATTTTTATATAGTTTGTATATAAGCATAATGAAGCATAGGACATTTTTTTTTTATTGGCGGCCGCATCTGATATAGAATTGGTCACTTTGAGCTGTGGATCTAAACGAGCCCAATTTGGCAGAGAACAACTAGAGGAAAGTACTGGCATGTAATGTCAACTATTGCTTATACATGCAGATATTTTGAAAGAATATGCAGATTACAATTTGAACTCTTGACTTCCACAAGCATTAGCAATATAAGGTTTTTCCCCCCTCAACTGACGTCTGACTTTATTACCCATCCGAAGAAATGAAATAATCCTGATAGAGCTGACAGATGCTAGCATCATTGCTAGAAGCATAAAATGCCTTTCTTATGAAGAAAATATTATACCTGATTTTTGTCTCCATATTATTCACAAGATAATGATCAGGACTCTTTAGTCCCCAAGTAGTATGTTCTGAGTAGGTGCAGTGAGATTATATGCAAAACAGTGCAAAGGATTTGAACAAATGAATGAATGAAGCTATCATTAGTTTCTCATGTTTGAGGAGTTTAAAATAGATCAAGCAGCACTCAAAGTTTTAACCTGTGGATTGAAAAATCAACCGCTAAGGTAGAATGCCCTTAGAATTTCAGGGGTTTTGCTTGATTTCCCTTTTTATTTTGAGGGAACTAAGCAGTAAGGGAAACGATCTGATCACGAAACATAGAATTTGATGGTGCTTCAATGAAAATTAGAATTGAAATGGAGAGAGTTTTGTGTACCAGAACATCACAGCTTATCTTATGAAATCACGACTCAGGAATTATATTTGATATCTTGTTATTACGGAGTTTCAGTTCACTGGGGGTTATAATACGTTTATCAGGCTGTATACATAAAATCAAACAACATGCAATGCATTATCTATGTTAAATGTATGTGAATGCGTGCACATATGGTACAACTCTCAGCCTTTCAGAATCATCACTATATTACTGCACACTTGTGTGTGTGGGGGTGTGTGTATGGAGTACAAGAAGGTCTTCGTGACTTGCTTGTGTGAGCACGATCTTTACTTTCTTGCATGATGTCCGGTTTCAACGTGAATAGTTTCTGGCATTATGATTGTACGTATCTACGTATGCTTACATGAATGTGCACGTGGGGCACATCAACATGTTCTCTAACTTTGTCACTACAATGATTATATATTTCCCATGTACCTTCTACTGTATCGTGTAGTGTAATATACATCAACTAAAAAACGGTTTAGAAAAATAATGATGAGGTCTATATTTTGTCTGCCTTTCATGCTTCTTTATCTTTTAGTTTCTATGTTGCAGATGGATGATTTTGTTTTACCACCTTTTGAATCAACATCTATTTTGAAAGACAAGGACATCATCAGGTTGGTTTTTTTTACACATTTAGATTATTATATTTTTTGAACTTGAACTTTCTATTTATTTTTGAATGTAGTATCGTTTTTGAAATCATAATGGTGTTTTGTATTGATTTTTAGATGTTCCATAGTTTCTTATCTTGAGATTATGCTGCATGTAAAATTTGCATTTGTAAAGTTACACCGGACACAAAATCCTTTCTGGAAATCATCATGTTATGAAGTCTTTACTACCTTTACCACCTAGATAAATTAGTCTAGAGGGTTTGGGGAATTGATCTTCAATTACTTATGGAGATTGCATAGCTAACAAAAGGATGGATGCCAGTACGCAAAATAGTATGCCAAATAATCATCAGGTCCTTTGCTGCTGAAAATTATCCTTGGTGATTTTTCCATAGGTCGATTTCTGACCTCCTCCTTTTGAAAACTAGGGAAGTCTGTCATTAAAATTTTCACAACTTTGAGTTGTGCTCCATACCCAAATATTTTAATATGTAAAATTTGGATGATGATTACCACAAGGATGGCTTTGCAGAAAATGAGCAACTTATGATGACTTGCGATTTATTGCATAAGCTCGTAGTAGTATTAGTCAAGAAGATGGCAATGACAAGTGAGGTTGAGTGGTTAGCGGGTAGAGTTGGTTAGTGCATTTGTTGCCCTTATAGGATAGTAGTTTCAAAAGTTTTAAGTAGTGCTCACCTTATAGTCACTTGAAACAAGGTTTTTTTTTGGAAAGAGACATCTCATGTATATTTTGTTCTTTGATCCCCCCCCCTCCCCCCAACATTCTGAAGTTTGTATATAAAGCACTAGAATCGAAACTATTTCTGGCTTGCAAAATCTTTTCTCTTTCTTTGCTATTGTCTTCGTATATGAATGGATTTATGGGCTTATAACAAGGTCCTTGCATTAAGTCTTTGCCTCTTTGGTCTTTGCATTAGTTGGGAAAATTTAATAGGCACATCTTGTGATTTTAGTGGGTTTGTTTGTCAATGGTTTCATGTTAGCTGCTAAGTCTAGTGTCATGACTTATGATAGTTTGTAAGGTGATGAATAATGGAGGAGTACTGGAGATCGGGTTTACAGGACCTACTTTAGATAATTTCGGAGAAAGGCTTGATTTAGCCTTGAGTTGGATTAGACTAGTTGCCTTGGTTGACCATTGGACTTAATCTATTTATTTGATTCATGTTTAATTTAACAAGTATAGTGCCGTGCGTTGCTCATAGACATAAAAAATTGGTTTTTTCCATCTCTATTATCTTTAGGTTTCCTTAATCAAGTTAGGCGTATACTGGGTTGTTTGTTACTAAGTCGTATAGACAGTGTGGAACTGAGATTTCCATTCAGTTAAATCTTTTTAGGTGTATATATTTTTTAGAAAAGATAAACTTGATTATAAATATATTCTTTTTGTTGTGATTTTATTTTGATTAAAAATCATATTCCAAGCAAATATTGCACGATCTTCCTTACAAACTTTTGTACTACGTAAAAAAATAATTCAAGCAAATATCAGACAGCGGAAACAAATGTAAATTTAAACAAAAGGCAAGAAAGAGACAAAATTTTAATTAAATAAATTAGAATTAGAACTTAAAAAGAAAAGAAAAGAAAGAGACTTAGGTTGCTCTAAAAATCTACATAATTATTAGAATTAGTTCTTTCCATCTATTCATCGGAAAACCCATTTCTTTTTTCCTTCTCCAACCCCTGTCGCCAAGTTGCTGCAAGAACTCATGTTGCTGCGCAGTGAGGAATGCATCATCTATCAAGAGGAGAAGACAAAATTAGGAATCTTTACTTTTTTTTCATCAGATTCATATATACTGAGAGAGAGAGAGAGTGAATGTTAGCATCATAGTTAGGAAAAATAAAGGAAGAAAAGAAAAGAAGAATTCAAGGATATCACGATGAAGAACTTAAACGAATACTCAAGCAAACATCAGATCATGTAAATGAAATAAAATCAAACTAAAAGTAAAATGAACAAATGTAACTAATCGTAAACAAAATGCAAAAATGTCAGAATAAAACTAACCATTCATATTCCTCTCTGGTGTCATCGCGTTATGTGGAACCAAGCTTAGATCATAATAATCGATTAAATCTTTATCTACAGTATTATGATAGGGAGATGAGGTTATGATAATGGAATTTGAAGTGGTTTTGATGGGATTAATATGATTTAAGTGGGTGTAAATGGAGGGGTTATAAACCCATGATTTATTGATAAATTATAGATTATACACGTATAAAGGAGGGATTGCTATGTCAAAACTTTTGATTGAGAACTTTTGATTGAGAGTGCAAAAGAGGCAATCAAAGGTTTTGACATAGCGATCATCTTTTATAAGTGGGATAGGGATAGATATAGATTTAGATTGAGTCATGTTAGTTTAGTTGCTTTATACATATTGTTGAGCTTACTTGCTTTATACATATATAGAAACTCTACAGAAGCTTTGTGTTGGAATTTGAGATTGAGTTTTTGATGAAACTTTGACGAGTGCATGTGATTTGCTTGGTCTGAGACTGAAACTCTAGCCTTAATCTATTTACCCTATCGCCACTTCCTCTAAAGTACCAGCCTCCCCTTCTCCCGCTTCTTAATTTTCCTGGAGCAGCACAAATCTAGCACCCTCACCATCTCCCTCTTCTTTTTTTTTCTTGCAACATGAAGCCTGCCTCCTGTTCTCAACCTGAAATCAATTTTTGCCCTTCCTATCTTCCCATTCTTCCCTGGAGGATCATTTCCAGTTCACACCCGCTATCATCCACCACAACTTGGCCGAACTCCTTCCCAAGCCTTTAGTCCGCCGTCACCCATCAGCACTGACCCCACAATCCACATGCACCTTAAACAGTTCTAAGTCCCTATCTTTCCCATCCAAAATCCATCAGAACTTTACCAATCCTACATCCAGCCCTCCTACATCAAAATCCATCATTAAGTCAGGTTTCTTCTATTGAAAGTTGTGATTTTTCCGTCCCTATTTAATTTTCCAACTAGTACCCACTAAGGAATGTTAAGGAAGTGCAGTGGTGGTGTTGGTTTCCAATATTTGTTAGATGTGGAGATGGAATCTACACTTCTGACATGCTCATTATATTTGTAAGGGATTGAGCTTTACTTTGTAATATTGTTGTTTCAGTATTGGAGTGTAAGTATCTCTCGTTTTCCGTTATTTTGCCCTATACTTTTAGTTATTCTATTGTGATGTCTAACATAGTTTATTTTCATGCTTTACTTGGTGCATATATTATTTTCGTTATAGACTTTGACTTTGGAAAAAATGTATTATATTCAAATAGACAATAAATTGAATATTCAAACAAATGAGCCTATTTGATTTGCGGTGTAGTTCCAGAAATCACACTTGAATTTCTGTTCCTTTTAGTTTTCCACTAATTGCTGGCTTCCTTGGACCATACAAACAAAAGTGTTGCAGTTGTTTGAAACTTTTTATAATGTATGAAATTATTTGCTGCATCACTTATCTTCCTGGATAACATAACATCTCAGGTTGATATTTCATCTTATTCCGTTCCTTTTAGTTGTCCACTAATCACAGATTTTCTTGCAACTATAAAAACAATAGTGTTGCAGTTGTTTTAAACTTTTTATAGCGTATGAAATTGTTTGCTGCATCACTATCTTCCTGGATGAAAAAAAAAACATTTCATGTTGTTTTTGATGTGTTGGTCTACGTATACACTTAGACATACCAAGTCCAATATATGCCGACTCTGTCCTAATGATATAAATGTTATTTGTATCAGGGTCAGAAAGAAGGATGCTATAGTGATAGATGTGATAGAGCTTGGTGATTATTCATGTCAAATGCAGTGTTCCGGAGTTCTGGAGAAGCAAAATACAGTTTCTAGTGATAAACTTCTGCCAATAAGAGAATTTGGAGAGGATTCAGGTTGCGAGACAAAAAATGATAAGGAATTATGCACACACAATGAGAATGCTATCCACACGGGAACAAAATCAAAGAGAAAAATTAAACATCCAGATGGAATTGAGGGCTCCAAGTAATCTTTCAAGATTTTCTTTTAAATATAGCTAACATGCATAATTTCTTTTACTAATTTCAAAATCCAAGTAGCTTTGTATTGCCTAAGTTTTGCCACACAATTTACTCCAGATGTTTACAGTTTCTTTAACCTTGTGCTCAGAGCAGCATACTGCCCCTTAAAAGTTTGATATCAATTTTAATTCCTATAACAAATCTATCTTACCTAATTTTGTAGTCATAAGATTAAATGTTGAGAAATATTGCTTCTTAGCTACACAAACTAAAAAATGCATGATGTGGAAGGTGGATTTAATACTGGCAGATTCTAGGAGTATGGAAATCACTTTTCCTGTCGAGAGTTTTCCTAGGGAGGAATTTGGCAAATGATTTACAGGGTTTTCTTGCTTATGTACAGGCGTGATTTTTTTACTCGGGTTCTCTTGCTTATATACAAGCGTGATTTTTTTACAGGGTTCTCTTGCTTGTGTACAAGCGTGATTTTTTACTCGGGTTCTCTTGCTTATGTACAAGTGTGATTTTTTTTATCTCTCAAACACTCATGCTGCTAAATTTAGCTTATCCAAATGCATTGTTCCCAAGTCCTTGCGAGTTCACCACTATTTTCTTCCTATTTTATTTTCATTCAGCAGGCCATAGCTGTTGAAAAGGTTCAAAATGGTGATCTAATCACTGACTATGATCTGAAGGATGCATAAATTTGAAATTAGATATTGAAATTCGCCATATGAAATATGGCTTCGTAATTATAGGTCTATGCTTTCCAACAGGCTCAGACTATTGTTATTTACCCTCTTTTTTAAAAAGTATCTTCTATTAAGGGTCAACATACAAAACATCAAAAGGGACTCTGAAGAAGAATTGAACTTTACTTCATTTCAAATGTTAGTTTATATGGCTTAATCAATGGTGTGACCTCAGTTTACCTTTTGAGAATCTTATCTTTAATTTTAGCCAAGTTAGATACTTGGAGGTCTATGTTTTTTGCTAGTTTAGAGAATTAATTGTCTATCTTTGAATGTTACCCATTTAGAGACTTGGCAGTCTGGATTAATTTCTCAACAATTTAGAGACTTACTGGTCTATGTTAGATTTTTTTTCCAATTTAGATACATGATAGTCTATTTTGGATTTTTGCCAATTAGGAGACTTGGCATTCCATCTTGAATTTTATCAATTGATATATTTGACACTTGACAGTCTTATCTTGGATTTTTGTCAATTTAGAGACTTGGCAGTCTATCTTGAGTTATCATTCATTGTTTTTGTCTACATTAATAACTTCGGGTTCGTTACAGTTGAATTTTGGACTTATTTGTGCATTATTTTACTAGTTTAATGTTATGGAGTCTGCACAAATAAATTCATTTTTAATGGGCACAATTATTCTGTAATGTAATGACATGTGTGTGTGTGTGTGTGTTGGGGGGGGGGGGCCATTTTTGGATTTAGTTTAAGTGCGTAAAGGTCCATGGTTTTATTTTTTATTTAGTTTAAAGATATTCCTGTCCGTGAACTTTTTTAGAGATATTCACTTCCTTTAATTACATATTTTTTAGAGTAAGTTTTGGGATATTCCAGTCCGAGATCTCAGTATTATTTTACAGATATTCTTGTCCACAATTTGATTTTCGCCGGTAGGTGCCAAAGCAACCCTAAAGGGGTCAAAGCAATCAATTAATTTTGTGTGGGTATCGAAGTGTTCCCATGGGGGATATAATATGAGCGTTGAAGCATTCCTGAAGGGGGTTGAAGAAATCCCTTAAACCCATATGCTTTGGGGCCTGAAGGAATTCCAAAGGGAACCCAAGCAATCCCATAACTTTTTGGTCTCCGAAGCATTCTCGATGGGGGTCAGAATCATCAGATCAATCCCTTAAATGTGTTGTTGTATGTGTCCGAAGGGATCCCAAAGGGAGCTGAAGCAATCTCTTACCTATATGTCATGGGGAACTCCAGAGGGGGCCAGAGCAATACTTAAATCTATCTATATAGAGCAACTTTTAAACTGTAATTGGAAGAGAGAAGGAATAAGAAAAATAACATATCTACATATTTTCTAGAGAATATGAGTCTTTTTTCACTCATGAAGGAATCAATAGTCTTGATTGATTCTGTTGGAAAGTTTGCAGAGTTTTCCCTTTTTATATTGTTTTTTGTTTTAATATGATTATTTTTCATGAAGAATAGACATGGACATCCAATATGGACATAGTAAGATGCAATATGGACACCATTGATGCACAAATCTAAAATAATAGTTTTGAAATAGGAAAAAAGAGAACTATTCGCATCCACTACATGGCTTCCGTCTCGCCTCTTCACAATCAAAGTGTCTGTGTGCTGCATTGTTTTGCAATATTTTATTTAAATTATCAAGATTTAAGGAGAATAAGAGGTTTACCCTTATTTTGTTTATCTATTTTGCTTTAACTTTTTCACGAATGCCTTAATTGATAACAGATATGGCATGTCATTTGTAAATCTGTTGTCTCGTGGCATTGTGAATTTCATCTGATACAGATGGGATACAGTATTTTGTTTTGATTTGTTATTGCATGTCTGATACATAAAATATATCCCTTTTTAGTATATTAAAGCAGCAGCTCATGTGCTTGTATTTTATACAATATGATAAATGGTAACCCTCATTTCATCTGATACAGATGGGATACAGTATTTTGTTTTGATTTGTTATTGCATGTCTGATACATAAAATATATCCTTTTTAGTATATTAAAGCAGCAGCTTACGTGCTTGTATTTTATACAATATGATAAATGGTAACCCTCATTTCATCTCCAAGGAGCCAAACACAATTGGTGACGTGGAGGAAGATACTGCTGGCAGAAATGAAGATATCCATTTAGGGAAGACCTTAGAGTCCTCTAAAAGAGGCAGCTCACGGAGAGGTTCACATAAGAAAGCTGAGATGCCCTCTCGAAATGGAAATATTGTTTCTCAGCTAAAAGATAATGTTGCACAGGGGACAAGTTCTGATCAAAGGGAAAAGAGGTAAGCTCTGTTTGTAATCAATTGTCTTAATTGTGTATAAGGGCTTACAAGTTTTCATTATTATTAACCGAAATATGAAACAAATATTTGCTTCAACTTCTAATATCACTTGCATTTAAAAGGAATCATGCAACAACTACTAATGAGATAGTAAACATCACGTCATTTTTATGTTTGAAGCTCGGGATGCACCTACCACTAGTTAAAACTGGGATAGAAGCTTTTATTAATTAATTACAAGTATAATTTTTGTATCATTATGGGGAACTTTTCTCCTTTAATCGTTAGCATTATTGTATTGTTTTGAACTATGTAACCTGTTAGAAAATCACAGAAAACATTGAGCTGGAAAATATGCTCTTCATATCATCTGGTAATTTTTTTATACTTTACAAGATCGATTCCTTTTGTGACTGATGATCTTTTATATGATCAACTGATGAAATCATTGTTAACAAATGCAAGCCACCACCCTCAATTTTTCTCACATTAGATGAAGGGATATGGGGCGATTTCTCATATAGGTTTAAACAGATCTGATTTTGTTGCATCAGTTGTTTGCCAGTTGTACAACTTGTTAGAAAGAGTCGACTTTACATAGTCTTATGCATTAAATGTGAAAAGTAAAAGATTTGACAGGTTTGTTGTGGTTTTTTGGGACTGCCGAGGTACCTCTAGTGAAGAAAATAATCGGCATTAACAAATGCAAATAACTGGAAAGATGTCCTTTTTTTACTTTCTGATATTTAGTTGCAATCAAACTCACTGATAGTGAAATATTTCCAACTTTTAATTGAAATAATACACTCTAAGTGGTAGTTTCTTCAAATGACACCTCTTCAATGGAGCTGCATTATAGTTCTTGTAGACGTAGACAGCAATATTTCTACATACATTTTCAAAAGGAATGTTATAGTAACTTTGAAGGATATATACTATTGTGATCGATATTTGTTTAACTATTTAAGTTTGTCTTCTTTTCCTTTTTTTTCGTGTCAAAGGAGGAAAAAATCAAGGTTGACCAGCACTGAAAAATCAATCCGTACTGCTGAAGGAGCGGAAAACATTTCTAGAGAGCAGAAGCAGAGCAATAGTCAGAAGGAAGTCAATGTTGCAAGAGATCTACATATGAAGAATAAACAATCTGGTGAAGATGGAACCCACAATGCAGAAGTTGCTTCCCAACCTAGTGATAATGTTAATAAAAATCATAGTTCCATGCTAATGGAAGAAAGGTACATTTAAATAGACACTTGGGATATTCTGATAAACATTATGTTTTTGCAACATCAAATTATCAGTTAAACTTAAACCTGCGTAATTCAACTAAATAATCCAAAGGTTCCCCCTCTTTCATTACAGCGCCAATACAATTTACAAGTTACGTAAAGTTCTGTTAAGCATTTACAGGAGTGGAAAAAACAACATAGATTAGAAGAGAGAATTATCTGACAAGTGTCCACTTATCTTGGTGACATGTACGATACCAGATGTCTCCTTTATCTTAGGTGTTCATGAAGCATAGCTCTATTCTGTTCTAAACTGAAAATCCTTCTGGCAGATGGCAGGTAGGTGTTTGGTATCGCCTGTCTACGACCTAGCCATCCTCAAATGATTATAACTATTCATGAAGAAAGTTTGGGGAAAGAATGCATGTACAAGATAATTGAAATGCGACCATGTTTCATGCATTAGAGATTTTATCTTTCGTCTGATATATATTTTGATACATCTGCAGTACATTTTGACTTAGAAAAATATAAATAAGTTTCTTATTGGTATCCATTGAGTACAAGGATCCAAGTACTAGATACATCTCCAGTCTGGGTATGCTTTTACCTAATTATTCATGAAGAATACCTTTATTCTCTTCCAAGCTTAAAATCATTCCAACCAATAGCTTGTTGCCTGCTTCTCTAGTCATACACCGCCATTATGGCTTCATTTTAGTATTCCTGAAGGGCTACATAGTTCAAGACAATAAATAATGATATTATTTAATGATGGAAAGCTTCCTCAATGATATTGTTTAATGGCGAGAAGCTTCCTCATTCTTATTAAGATCATCTGTTAACAAACTGTTGTTTTTTGTTACCTCTTAAATAAGAAGCATTGAAGAGGTTTTTTTTTTCTTCTAAATTTTGGGATTCTTTCTGTTCATAAGCATGCATTTCTAAAATTTACGTGCCATGTGGTGTCTACTTAGTTCTTTCTCCGAGGCTTCTATTTCCCTTAAGCATGG